AGCCTCTAATGGTGAGGATGATTGGTTGCTGGGCACCTTCCAGGTTGCGGCCCTCTAGCGCACCCACACAGACGCAAAGGACTAGTTGAAGCACTGGGGAACTAGATACAAAGAACAGGTAGGGATGAAACTTGTAACTAAAGCTGGCCATACACCTTACAATTATCTGCAGATTTTCTGTGGTCAGGTGGAAAAGGTGCAACAGATACCTCCATTTACACTTAACTGAGTAATCTCCACCTGGGCCAATCTGTTGCACTTTTTCCATCTGACCACAGAAAATCTGCAGATAATTGTAAGGTGTGTGGGCACCTTAAGAGGAGGCAGATAGGAACAGTGGCACACAATGAAAGAGAAAGTCACAAGCAAAGGTTCAAAACGCACAGCAGAACAGCAGGGTATACTGAAAAGGGTAGCTAAGCAATGACACCCGGGAAGGGTAAGTATCTTCGAGGCACACCTAGGAGCAGGAAAGTGTAATGTACAAAAGTAAGCAAGAGATGTGCGTTGCACATGTATACAAAAAAGCAGGATAACAGAGAGAAAAGTACATAAAGAAGCACAAAGGAATGTATGCACACAGGGGGTGTGCAGACAAGGACGAATCCAACACAGCCACAGGGTAAAGGTCCCCACACACCTTACGATTATCGTACGATAATCGCGGGAAATCCCGCGATCGTACGATTATCGTAAGGTGTGTGGAAGCCGTGCGACCTCTACTACTGTAAGGTTGCCCTACTTTAAAACTTACGGACATGTTCGAAAACCCGCCGAGCATCGTACGATGTTTGGCGGGTTTGTGGCATGTCTGTACGATAACAGCCGTACGGGCCGGTGTGCGCAAGCGCACACTGCCCGTTTGGCATTGCGGTCATCGGAAGCCCGCCCCTCAGGGGGCGTGGCTTGCGATCATCGCAAGTACGATCTGCCTATGCAAGATAGGCAGATCGTACGTTTTTTAAAGTACCTTACAACCATCGCAAGACTTCTGTAAGGTGTGTACCCAGCCTAAGAGAGGAGCACAGGAATAAAGGGGTGACAGCGAAGCATAGAAAGATACACTGGAAAGTAAGCGACGGAATTGAAGTACAAGAAAGCAAACACACAAAGGCTGGAGAGGGAAAACACAGATAAGTGAGGCAATGAATGCAGTATAGAGACACTCACAACACACAGGTGAAAGCAAATAAGGTCTGCAGCAATATAGTAAAGGTAACCACTGAAATACTATAGTAGGGGCGCAAGGAGCAAAGCAGCGGATAACGCCAACCAGGGATACCAGCTGGTACAGGGAAGCCAAAGGCACAAGGATCCAATAAGCACAGGGAATAAAGATCCCGGGGATAGTTAGAGACACAAGGGGGTACGGAACAAGGCATAAGACTTGTTGATCACACCAAGAGCAACAAGTGAGGAAGTCCTAAATAGGGGAGGAGGAGAGCAGATTGGCTACAGCCTTGTGAGACACCATAGACTGACACGGATTTCCGGATATTGTGACACTGCAATAGCAATCTAGCTATTAGTTCCTATGCCAATTTTTTTTCTTCTGACTGACGGCGGCCAGTGGCCCCAATGTCAGAAAAAAAATCAAAAACAGACAGCACGGGAGAAAATTTTTCTCTCCCGGGTGTCCGGGAGCCACTATCTAATAGCGGAAGACTCCCGGAACATCCGGGAGAGTTGAGATGTCTGCCTAAGGCCAAAAAATGTGAGGGACAAACCTTCACCTCAAGGGGTTGCCCATGGACATCTGGGACAGAGGGGAACTGTGTGATGTTATTTCATTTAATTAAAAAAAGTGGATTATTATAGGGGACATTACACCGTAATGTTGCCTATTATAATCTATGTCTCTCATTAAATGATTACAGACAGGGACGCTATCAAAGTTTGTGACTAGGTTGGAATGTGTGACCGGTCACGTGGTCACACATTTTAACGTAATCATGACCGATCAGCTATTCCAGGGCAGATCGGTTCTCCTGCACATAACATCTGCGATACCGATCTGCCCTGGAACAGCTGACAAAGTGTTGGAATGCTTGACCTATTGGCGGTCACAAATCCCACCGCCGAAAAACTGGGTTACGTTAAAATGTGTTACCACGTCACCGTTCGCACATTCTAACGTAGTCACAAACTTTGATAGAACACCGCCATCAGGGGGGTACGGCCGGTACCCATGTGAGGGGTCTGGGCAGTCTGAGGGGCCCCTTACATGGGTATCAGCGTTACCAGGGGCGGCATGGCAGAGGTGACAGGGGAGGTGGTGGAGTAGGCCGGGCCGCAGCAGGTAAGAGGAGTTGGGAGGAGGTACAGGGAAAGGGACCCTCAGACCCTGCAGAGCCCACCATAGATAGTCTTAGATGGGCTGTGCAGGATCTATGGTCTGCTCTCCAGGGTCACTCTCAGGTGGGCTCTGTGGGGTCTCAGCTAAGTCCAGAGTCCAGGTCTCAGGTAAGTCCAGTGCGTCATAAGCCCAGAGTCCAGTGCGTTACTAAGCCCAGAGTCCAGTGCATTACTGAGTCCAAGGTCCAGTGCGTTACTAAGTCCTGAGTCCAGTGTGCTACTAAGTCCTGAGTCCAGTTCATTACTACCCTGTTTCCCCGAAAATAAAGACCTACCCCGAAATTAAGACCTAGTACAATTTTTGGGAATTGCTAAAATGTAATCAGAAAGAGAAATAACGTCACCAGCACTCCAAAATGTAATCAAGCAATTTAAGGTGCATATTGTTCCATTGTTGTGTTAATCTGAGCCTGATGAAGGGGACCCTCTGAGGCCCCGAAAGCGCTTGCATTTGAATGACAATGTGCCAATAAATGGACTATTGCTTGATTACATTTTGGAGTGCTGGTGACGTTATTTCTCTTTCTGATTCTATCACGGTGCCATCCGTGGTCACTACAAGCACCCACCCGGCCAAGGAGTGCAGCGAGATCTCTTGATTTTTTGCTAAAATATAAGACCTACCCCGAAAATAAGACCTAGTTGTGACCATTCCCTGGGCCGATGGTGGCATAAGGGGGAACTTGAAGAGCCGCAAGAGAGAATCAGCGGTGCCACCAAAGCCAGCGCTAGAGGAAGCAAGGCGGCAGCACAGGGAGCAGAGCCGCATAAGTTGATGCTTCCTCTATAGCGCAGGCTCCTGTCACAGGCGGAGTGATACCAAATCCTGTGATACCAACGCCTGTGAGGAATGAAGTGAAAGTGTGCTTCGCTCATTCTGGTTAGCAAATTGCTCTTGGAAAGGTATGGCATCACCTTCCTTGTCC